TTGCCTTTGTGACCTGATCATAAAAGGCAATCAGGTTGGTTTGACATGACCTGCCCCTAATGAAACCATGCTGGTTGCCCTTGAGCATCATCCCTGAAGCCAGCCCATCACAGATGTGCTCCTTGAGGATCTTCTCAAAGAGTTTCCCTAGAATGAGTCTGGGTCAACCCTTTGGACATAAGGAAGGGGTCTATGATAGAAGTCTTAACATAAAATTAGATCAGAGAAAAACAATGATTGTCAGCCAGGATGCTTATGTCTTGTGGGGTGTGGTGTGGTGTTTGTTTTGTGTTTTGTTTTTACTATATTCCATAAAGCTTTTTTTAATTAAAATCTATTAGTTTCAGATCAGTTTAATGAAAAAAAATTCTTCCAAGAGTCTCTGATGACTGAATGTTTGGGAAAGTCCTAATTCCATAAGAACCTTGGTGTATAGATTATTGTCTGAAATTTACAGCGTTTTCATATTGGAAACTGGAATTTAGTGATCCTATTATAGTGTAGATAAGCACAATAGTTTGTTTACAATCTTTTGTAAGCTATTGTACTACTGTGATACTATAGCAAAGTCATATTTGATTTTTTTTCTATGATTTGACTGACTTCAAAATTTTGTTCGCACAGGTTTACATTTGCAAAGTCTGTCAGAGTGCATTTTGTGTGGACTGTGACTTGTTTGTTCATGATTCTCTACACTGCTGTCCTGGCTGTATTCACAAGCACCCATCTTCTCTGTCTGTATGATGCTGTCTGTTTGTAAAGATTATTCTACTGGTTTCATTCCTGGACAAAAGGAAAATTATACCATTTAGCCATATCCTAGAGCAAGGCAGTTCTAAAAAGAAGAAATAAATATCTACATGGATGCAGTCAAAATGAAAATTGGCTCAGGGGAAAAAGCAGACATTTTACTAACTATAGAATTACTGATAATTAAAATGTAATAAATGTTTAACTGTAAATATGTTCATAAAATATCTGCATCATCTGATTTGAAAGCCCATGACTTTTGAGAGTTATTTTGAATAACATGCGACTTTGTAAATAGAAATGGGATAAAATTGGGTAGCATGTTAATACGATTCTTCATGTTTTTCATGCTTTGTAAAGAAACAACTATAAATATGTTTTATACACTTAGTAAAGAAGTTCTTGCTTCCAGCCTGAAGGTGGATTATTTTATTAAATACTGTAAAGACATATTCACAAGAAGTTTCCATTTTGTCAAATGAGCATTCTCAAAAAATATCACATCCGGCACTAATTATAATGTTGTGTAAGCATGTTACAGGCCTTTAATGAGGAAGTTGATGCTGGGAACATATCAGTCATTGCCCGTTCCTCTTTAATGAACAGTTCCTCAACATGCAGTCATTGCCAGTTGCTCTTTATCAGTAGTAGTGAATATGAGGCAGCATAGACCTTTATGTAGGTACACAAGTGGGGTGTGTACCCAGGGGCTCTGGTCCGCTTAGAACCCTCACTGAATCTGTTCTTCATTTCTGTACTGCTTGTTTTCATTTATGCCAGCTAAGCTAAAGCTAACGGGCATGCTTCATATCTTGCAATCGCACTTAAAATTGCTTTGTAGCTATTTTAAGTGTGGTTACATAGTCTGTATATAAAATGAGATGCCTATGGATATTGTATATTTGGGTATTGTATATGCATTAGGTTTCAAACGTATCTTACTGTTCTGTGTAGCCATTTGTGAGCCCTGAGCCTTTGGTTTGTTCAGAGATTTTTTTTTAAATAACTTTGCTGTATTGGTGTTGGCCTTGGTCTAGAAATAGAGCTTCAGTACAAACTGACTGGTTTGCTTATTAGTGCAGCCGGTCCTATATGATCTCAGTTAAGTCATAGTTTGCACTGTAATGGCACATCTCTACCAGCTGTTCATGTTGGTGAAGCTGCAGCAGAAATACGGGATAAAACAAAGCTCAAGTTTCTCTTTTGATTAAGCTTTTTTAGTAAAGTCATGTAAAAATCTGTGTTCGGATATCAGTTTGGGCTCCTTTTAAAAATCACTGGAAGTAACTGATTCCACCAAGTGGTGCTTTCCAAATTCTCTCCCTTTATTCCTAATTCATGTTGGATGAACACTTGAAACTGTTCAGTATTTTTCAGTTGCCCTCTTAGTTAATTGTAATTATAACTGGCTAGAAAACAAGAAATCCATTGTGTGAAAAAATCTGGCATCTGTTTTCATTCAGGTGAGTAAAACCAAGACTTTAATTTTTTGTTTGGTTGGTTTTTATGAGAAAGAGACACTCATCCCAAAATAGTTAATAGGTACTTGGCCAGGATGTGCGAGACACAGGTTCTCTGCTCTGAATCAAGTGGAACATGGTCTTGAATTTGAGTTTCCTGTATTCCAGGGGAGTGCTTTCTAGGGTGGGTGAGGATGTCTCTAGCATTTTCACAAGAAGTTTCCATTTTGTCAAATGAGCATTCTCAAAAAATATCACATCCAGCACTAATTATAATGTTGTATATGCATGTTACAGGCCTTTAATGAGGAAGTTGATGCTGGGAACGTGTCAGTCATTGCCCGTTCCTCTTTAATGAACAGTTCCTCAGCGTGCCAGTTCCTCGACATGCAGTCGTTGCTAGTTGCTCTTTAAAATCTTGTAACCTGGATAATAACAATTCTGAATCCCCTTGCCTTTCCACCACAATATGAGAATACTTCAAGTACATTGAATTATCACTGTCAGGTATTAAGCATTATGTTACATAGCTCAGGTATGACCTTGATATTTGCAGCACCCTAGGGCACGTCCACACATGCAAGCATGTGCTCTTGCAGCAGCTCAAATAGAAGCGCTGCAAATTTGAGCCGGGGCTTTTTGCCTCAGTGCATGTGTTTGGACATGCACTTTGAGCAAATTGTGCCACTAGGGGCAAAATAACCCTGCCTGGCTCCTCCCGGATCTTCAGCCAGGGGGAGCTAGAGCCCAGGGCCAGCAGCTGTGCTGTCCCCAGCAGTATAAAAAGCTTGCCCTGTCCTGGCCCTAGCAGTATAAAAAGCTGCCCTGGCAAGTAACTCAGGTGTGACGGCCAGAACCCAATAAATTAATAAACAATAAATATGTGCTGCTTAGAGGCATTTGGAACTTTTGTCTAATATAAAGCTTGTATTTTTGTAACGTGCAAATGTAACTTGTAACTGTTTGTGGAACTGACTAGGCCTCAAAGATGAAGCTATAGCTATGAAATTAGCTGACCTAATAGTTCTTTCTTGCTCAGAATTTAGCCTTGATGATAATAAAAACTGGATTCAACTGCCCAGCTTATCCAGCACATTCCAGGAAAGGACATCTCAAGGAAGCATAGTCAGAGAGTTCTAAAGGGCTGGATTTAGGCGGGGTAATGTTAATTTCAAACCTAAAGATGCTGTGTTGCAATTTGCTTTTTGGATAAACCCAAGTCTGGGTAGTAACCTTTTATAATAATTTTAACACCTTTTAATCCCATAGGGTAATAGCTATAAAACAAGATTGTGAATGGCCCCGAGGCCAGCAGATTAGCATAAGACTAGGTATAAAAAGCGTGTGCGTCAGGTGCCCAACAGGAAGGAGGAAACAGGATGGAAATTGCTGTTCCAAGCCCGGACTCTGGACTCCCACTGTGAGTGAGGATTGGATCCTGATCAAGGGAACTTCCCTGGTAATCCTTCAGACAGCGTTGATTGGGGACGCCTGACTTCGCTGGAATCACCTGGCACGCACCTGGCATTGAGGGACTGCCGATAAGTTGCCAACCCATGTCTGTCTATTTGTTGTTCTGAACAGCCCAGGGGCTGATATTCTCGCAGTACCTAGCTGGCCTGCGACAGGTTGATCTATTTATCTGTTGTTATCATCTGTTATTATTTACTATTAGCTCTTTAATATTGCATTATCTACTTATTGCATTTATCTTTCTGTTAACTGTTGTGTGTGTAAGCTATAATAAATTTGCCATTGTTTTACTCCCAACTCTGCCTCCTTGATCCTGAACCAAACAGCCGAGTGGCTAAATTGATATACTCACAGTGCCCAGCTGGCCTGTGACATTCAAGGCTACTAGCTCTCAGGAGCTTCTGGGGCCCAGACAGTTGGTACCTGTGGATACTACCCTTTGTGCCAGCTGGACTACTGAAGCAGCCCTGAGAGTTCCCTATACCCTCTACCCACTGCAGCAGTCTGGCAGTGGGGGCTGGTGCCTGGCTGTGACCTGCTGTGCACCTGCCAGACTCAGATGGGGACTGCAGAGCCAGTAGAGACATCTGCCCTGCT